AAATATTTGCAACTAAATATAAATTTAAAAATCATTTCTATATATGAACCTTAAAAAAAATCATATAATACTTCAATAGCGATATTATGTAATATAATATTAACCAAATGGCACCTAAATAATATATCACCACTCTAAATAAAAACATTCCATACAGATCGGAACACTGAACTAATGCATGGCAGAACATATATGGCAAATGAAGTATTTTCTGGTATTTTCTGGCAATTTGACCAAATGGACCAAAATTGATACAAATTGAATAATTAGGGTACTAAATTATTAGTTTTTAAAGTCGTGGATTGAAATTAATAAAACCTCAATAGTCGCAGGACCAAAAGTGTAATTTACTCTTATCTGTCTTCAATTCATTATTTACAGAGTAATTTTTAACTGAAAGCACATATTATATTAACAGTAGACACATCAGTTTTAAATAAATTAAAGGTTTACCTTGGACCCTTGCCATGGTATATCAATTTTTGAATTAGTTAACCGCTTAAGAGCAACCACATGATGAGTCTAGGTTTTTTGTGGAAAGAGAATGAGTAGGGAAGAGGAAAAATATAAAAAAAAAAAAGGATGAATGAGTTCCTTCCACTCAACCACACCCCAAATTTACTAATTAGTGATATAGATGGGCAAGATTGGACATGTCTTATATGTCATATACATTCATGGAGGGGCAAATTTCACTGTGAATTGCCCTGGATGACATGACTACGTACAGTAATGATACACGCGTTGCTCAACAATTTTTTAGAATGTTTAGACCACAAATAGTACCGAGTAGGAAACTTTTCGAGCATGATTCTAGTGTTAAAAAATATAAATATTTGCAACTAATATATAAATTTAAAAATCATTTCTATATATGAACCTTAAAAATCATATAATACTCAATAGCGATATTATGTAATATTATATTAACCAAATGGCACCCAAATATAATATCGCCACTGTAATAAAAACATTCCATACGGAACACATGAACTAATGCAAAATATATGGCAAATGAAGTATTTTGTGGTATATGTTCAGAATATCTATAGAATTGATATGATCTCGAAAGTATAGAAAGATAACAGAATTCAGAATATCTATAGAATTGATCCTCGAAAGATAACACCAAGATATTAATAGCAATGTAAAATAGAGATCAATGAAACTTTTAAAGAATTTTTTTTTTTCATTCTTTCCTTTCCTCAAATAATGACTCTATAAGTTTCTTTCAGTCACCAAAAAACAAATCAAAAAAATCAGTGCATTCAATAGTTAAAACTAGACAAAAAAAAAATAAAATAAAATAAAATAAGAAACTAGTATTGTCAAAAATATAAATATTTGCAACTAAATATAAATTTAAAAATCATTTCTATATATGAACCTTAAAAAAATCATATAATACTCCACTCCAATAGCGATATTATAATAATAATATAATATTAACCAAATGGCACTAAATATAATATCACCAATCAAATAAAACATTCCATACGGAACACATGAACTAATGCAGAACATATATGGCAAATGAAGTATTTTCTGGTAAATGTTCAGAATATGTATAGAATTGATATGATCCTCGAAAGTATAGAAAGATAACAAAATTCAGAATATGCATAGAATTGTTCTTCGAAAGATCTATAACACCAAAATATTATTTCAGTCTTGAGTACTCAAATCCAAGTTGTAGAGAAAATGTGATATTAAGGGAAATGTAAAACAATAGATTGCAATTGTATTCCCTTAGCTTCGCAACATAAATTGCAGCAGCCAGCAGAGCAGCTACAAAAGACAATACCAAAACTATATTAAAAGCAGATCAGACAAATGTAATTGTTTCTAAAATATGTTTGTAATATGTATAAGAGAAGAGAAGAAAGAAGGATCGCGAATTATTCAAACAGTTTGAAGCAATAAGTAAAACAATTCTATCAATCAATATACTGAAGCTGTCAAAGGAATGAATCAAATTGATCTGATCAAATTGGAAAATTTTTATAAGGAGAATATGGAAAGGTAAAGGAATAAAGGGAAAATAATAATGTCAAAACTATACACTATATATATATAGAGAGAGAGAGTAAAGCCTAGCTCCAAGATACACTTAGAGACTTAATGAAAGGCTAATTTAAGGGAGCAACTCTTTGAATATTCACATAACTTATTTGAGAAATCCCGGCCTCATACAAAATTATTATATTCCGCCAAAGTAGTAAAAAAGAGGAAATACGACACATGATCAAGTTTAAACAAAATTAGTGACGGTGCAATAAAAGGACAAAATTAAAGTCTACCTCCAAGTGGCAACTTAATTTAATTTGGGATCCAGTGAACATAAAGTTAACTATATATGAAGTTTGTTAATGATGTATATATAGAAAATAATGGATCGGAATTACAAAATATTGTATTCAACCTAACCTAGCTAGCAATATAAAGTTGAGTATGAAGTTTAATAAAATAATACAAATACAAAAGAACCAGAGGATTGGATATAAGAATGTATGTCTCTCCATCTAAGTTATGCTAAGGGACATATATTAAACACTTAAATTAAAGGATCAATCGGACCTCATCTAATTAATTTTCACATAAAATTAAAGCAAGCCTCCTTTGCTTTGCTTCTAGAACCTTATTCCAAAAACACTTTAACTCCTCCTGATAGGATAGTGCCTAATTAAGCAATATAATGGTTAGTGTGGGATATGACATTGGACTCACTAATTTTACTCCAAAATGGAATGGAAGCTAAGCATGCAGATGCAGTGAAATAAATAAGTTTCAAGTCACATTTCAAATTAACACTCCTTTCCATCTCCACATTTTATTCAATTTGTTTATCCATATATGCATCACATGATTTTACTTAATCGACATTATTAGCTAGGCATTTATATATTTAAGTTTACATTCCAATTTCGATCAGTTTTTCTATCTGTCCATATATAAACATATTGTATAACACATAAACCACAATCATCACTTTGTCCCAATCCAGTCATCAACAAACCAAAAGTGCACATTTATCTATCCTGAATATATATATATATATTCACAAGCTAAGGTAGAATAGAAAGCTATTTTCTGAAATATATAGATCGAGATATACCTGGACATGCAATGATATAAGCCAGCCAGCACAAACATGTTTCAGCTGCCCTGAGGGTCAAGCTCTCCGCTGTTATAGCTTGAATTCTCAATATGGCAGTTCCTGCCATCCTTTCCATTTCGCACCGGCTTTCAAAGTGATGGGTTTTTCCACAGCAGCAGCTCCCACACACAACATCTTCTGATATTCATTATCTCCAAGGTTCGAGATTTTCTTTACCTTCTTGTCCCAAGGATTCCACAACACTTAAAATGAAATGTAGAAACTTAATAATCAGTCATTCAGTCATGTTAGAAAAAAACTATTTAACAGATCGAATTGAATTGGCAGATGGATATTTTATTTGCATATCAAATACCCTTCCTTAATAGAAAATTAAGAATTTCAGTGAAAACCAACCCCAGCAAGCTAAGCTAATTAAGCTAAAATATCCTTTAATTTATACACCTCATCCATCAAGAAAGAATAAATCACCCTAGCTTAGCTTAGCTTTCATGAAAAAATAAATATAGATCTTACCTGCATCAGGAAGTCCACCCTTATTCATCACATATGTCCTATTGCTTTCATGATCAATGATTGCAATTTTTGTTGGAGTGTTTAGATATATTTTATCCACCTATGTAAAATTGTGTTCCAAATGAGAGACATGGTAAAGGCAGCAAATACAATACTTGACACAATGAAAATTCCTAAAATCCTTACTTGTCCTTCATTTTAATAGCAGCATCATATTGTTCAGTATTCAGCTCCCCCTTCTGCAACTTATCAAAACAATGCATTGTGTCTGGCCCCTCAACACGAACAGAACTGTTACAAGAATTATAACGCATGGTTGAGAAATATGATTTTTCCAAAGACTTACTGTGACATGAGCAGCACAAGTACTACTACAAGTAAAATAGCAGCATCATATCATTATATTGTCACATCAAAAACTAAACATCCAAGGTTCGATTGATCACTTGTCCTTAAAGATAGACAGTATGAACTTAATACACTTGATGAAACACAAAATTGGCCTGGTAATAAAGATGGAATTAATCTAAAAGGCAGCATTGTATAGTATAGTATACTCTGATCTAGACATAAATTATAACAATTAATAATCCGGTTATTTATTTCTTTAGCTCCTTAAAAAATTTGAATAATTATATTGCAAATGTCATCCTTTAATTTTCTCAGATCAGCAATATATATATATATATATATATATATATTATATTGTACAGATGAGATGGATCGAATCAGCATGTAAAAACAAAAACACATATAACTGGCAAATGAGATTCATGAACTCAAGGCATACATACAAGAAAATTAAAGATGGAATGGATGAGATGTACTAATTAAGTAAGTGCTCACCCTATGTCGTCTGATGAAACAGGGAGATAGGTGTGATACCCAAATGTAAAGTCGAAGGACTTTCCAGCAGTGTTGAGGTTTCCTATTTGAGATATTAGTATAAGATGTCCTGATTCTCCTCCAGATTTCAATGTTAACCTCAATCGGAATTCAAACCTAGAAAAAAACCAGCGCTCTCTCTAAATTAGTGTGGAAAAAATATATATTATAAGTTAACCAAAAAGTAATCAATGCACCAATTCGAACCTGTGAGGCCAGATATTCAAGTCGTTTTCAGAGGGCTTCAGTATCAAGTCAACAAATGCTTTAGAGTTTTCCGGTGCTTCTAGGAGAGGTTTCTCGTCAATGCTCCAAAAACTGTTTCTAGCAAATCCATGGTAGTTTCTTAAGAGGTCCATGCTCTGCCAACTGCAAACAGAAAGCTAGCGGTTAGTGTAATTAAGTGATGAGAGAATTGAAGATAGGAATTGAAGATCATATATATATATAGGAAGCTAGCGGTTAATGCAATAGTTAAAGTTAGGACAAAAAAAGGAAACTAGTAGGGTCACAAAATATAAATATTTGCAACTAAATGTAAATTTAAAAATCATTTATATGAACCTTAAAAAAATCATAAAATACTCCAATAGCACACGACTCACGCACATTAAGCACAAAACTCAAGCACATTAAGCATAAAACTCATGCACTTTAAAGTTTCTACAACAACTCACATTAAGTACACACTCACGCACATTAAGCACAAAACTCACGCACATTACGCACAAGACTCACGCACATTAAGTACAAAACTCACGCACATTAAACATTACACACACGCACATTAAGCACAAATCTCACGCACATTAAGCACAAGACTCATGCACATTAAGTACAAAATATTGGAAAAAATAGCTTAAAATGGGATAAAATGGCATGTTAAGTGGCTATTTTGTGGTACAATTATCAGTGGGGTCCACTTCCGATTTGGGTCGGGTCAAAGTGGATTCGGATTCTTCGTAGTGAGACGAAGAGATCGATATATTGTACGCTCAAAACGGATAATGGGTGAATGAGATATTGATTCTCAAAGTAGACCCATTTGAGTTGGAAAATGAAGGGGAAAAGTGTGCTTTTGTCCCACATTGCTTGGAATGAAGATTTTCCCCCCCCTTATATACAAGAGCTCTTTGAAGCTTGTAGAATTGTATAGCATAGAGGCTCTCTCGGTGCGGGGGGGGGGGGGGGGGGGGGGAGGGGTGCAAATCAAATTCCAACTAGCAGAGATTGAAAAAGGCTTGATTCAAGCCCGAGCTCGTGTGCGCCGGCACCTGGGGGCACGAATGTCGTTCGGAAATTGGCTGGCCTTGCGGGCATAAGTTATGCCAAACTTCGGTATCATTTTCCAACTGGTATAGCCACTTGGTTCGGGTGGACCGAGAGCACACCTACGGGAGGTGGCACAACGCTCCTAGCATCTACGGGAGGTGGAAAATAAGGTTTTAAGGAATGAGTGCTCACTCGACTCTTGCAAAAACCCAACACCAAACACTAGCCAAATTTCTTCATCTTTTCTTCCCTTCTTTCCAGAAAATAATAGTCAATTTTATTTGATTATTATTTGTCTTTCCTACCAACGGTACCAACAGTCTTAAAACCTTATTCTTCGTTTCTCCCGGTTGGTTGTTTTCTCCAAATTTCCTTGAAGAAAATGGAGCATCCCGTACTGGCCAATTGATGGGAAGAAAATGTTGTTGAGAACAACAATGGAGGAAACGGCAACAATGTTGCTAATTCCCAAGCTACACCCAGTGAACGTTGGTTCACAAGATGGTGGGAGCACTGAGGGATATATTCCCATGTCTCGGGTACCTTCGGTACCGAGTTGTTCGGGCTGGAAAAGCCGGAGAAGTTCACACGGTGTTGGTTCGAACTTCAAGAGGTGGCAACAGAAAATGTTGTTCTACCTAGCAACTCTCGGCCCTGGCAAGGTTCTTGTCCGAGAGTGTTCCCGAGTTGAAGGAACAAGATGCACAATCCGTGATGGCAGTTGGCTATTGGAAGGATTCGGACTTCCTTTGCCGAAACTACATCCTGAATGGAATGTGTGACACGCTATATGATGTATATCGAAAGATAAGCACATCAAAAGCGTTTGTGGGAAGCTTTGGATCATAAATACCGAAGTGAGGATGCCGGCTCAAAGAAATTTGTAGTTGGCCGATTCCTCGACTTCAAAATGGTTGATTCAAAGACCGTGCTAAGTCAGGTAGAAGATTTGCAATTAATCTTTGACGAGATCCGTGACGAAGGCATGGTGCTAAGTGAAGCCTTCCAAGTGGGATCTGTGATCCATTTGTTGCCTCCAGGTTGGAAGGACTTCAAGAACTACCTTAAGCATAAGCGAAAGGAGATGAATCTAGAGGACCTGATCCAGCGACTCAGGATTGAGGAAGGGAACAGGACGAATGATAGGAAGCTCCTATCGTTGTTGGTGCTAAGGCCAACGTTGTGGAGCACGGTAAGAACTCCAGGAGGAACAAGAAGGACAAGCGAAAGCTAGGTCCGAAAGGTGGCATTACCAAGAACAAGTTTCCTGGTGAATGCTACAATTGTGGCAAGCGTGGCCACAGAGCATCTGAATGCAAGGCTCCAAGGAAGAAGAACAAGAGTTCTGAAGCCAATGTTGTTGGAGATAGCAATCAGAAAGAGGTCGAATTAGCCTTTCGGCTATGGTGACCGAGGTGAACCTCGTGGGCTCAAACCCTCGTGAATGGTTCATTGATACCGGTGCAACCAGGCACTTTGTGTTGCAACCGAGAAATGTTCAACACCTTTGAGACCGTTTGATGGTGAAAAGGTGTGGATGGGAAACTCTGCTCAGTCTGCTGTGGAAGGCATGGGCAAGGTGGTTCTGAAGATGACTTCCGGGAAGGAACTAACGTTGAACAACGTGCTGTATGTTCCTGAGCTGAGGAAGAATCTTGTGTCTGGCTCTCTGTTGAACAAGCATGGCTTTCGCATGGTGTTCGAGTCAGACAAAGTAGTTTTGTCCAAGTTAGGAATGTTTGTTGGTAAAGGATATGTAACTGATGGGCTGTTTAAGCTCAGTGTAATTCCTGTTATCATAAAAGCAAAGTTAATTCTGTTTACTTGCTTGAGTCTTCCAATTTATGGCATGGTAGACTAGGTCATGTTAATTTTAACTCTATGCGTAGATTAATTAGCATGGAACCATATTCCTAACTTTCAAATTGACACAAATAACAAGTGTGAAATTTGTGTTTGAGGCAAAACTAACGAAAGTACCTTTCAAGTCGGTTGAAAGGGAAACTGAACCACTAGAATTAATCCATAGTGATTTGTGCGATTTTAGATCGATACAAACGAGATGTGGTAATAAGTATTTTATCACATTTATCGACGATAGCACACGATACTGCTATGTGTATTTGCTTAAGAGCAAAGACGAAGCCGTTGATAAATTCGTTATTTATAAGAATGAAGTGGAAAACCAACTTAATCGGAGAATTAAGAAGGTTAGAAGCGATAGAGGTGGTGAGTACGAAGCACCTATTGGTGACTTCTGTGCGAGTGTAGGTATAATACACGAGCGTACTGCACCTTACTCACCTCAATCGAACGGTGTTGCCGAACGAAAGAATCGTACATTGAAAGATATGATGAATGCGATGCTTATAAGTTCGGGCCTACCTTAAGATGCTTGGGGTGAGGCGATTTTGACAAGTAATTACCTTTTGAATAAGGTACCCCGAAAGAAGCTCGATAAGACTCCTTATGAGCTGTGGAACGGTAGGAAACCTTCCTACCAGTACCTGAAAGTGTGGGGGTGTCTTGCCAAAGTTTTGGTGCCAACACCTAAGAAAGTAAAGATAGGTCCTAAGACGGTGGACTGTATCTTTATTGGGTATGCACATAATAGTAGTGCTTATCGGTTCTTAGTACACGAGTCCAATAATCCGGATGTACACGAGAACACGATAATAGAATCAAGGAATGCATATTTTTCGAAAATATATTTCCTTGTAGGTCCAACGAGGGACCAAGTACGTCAAAACGAACGTTTGACGAAACTATGGATAATGATAGTGGGGAAATCCGAGAGAGAACCCGAGCTCGAGCCGAGACGCAGTAAGCGGGCGAAAGTTGGAAAATCATTCGGTCCTGATTTTCTAACTTACTTGTTAGAGTACGATTTGGGTACTCTAACTTGTTTATTAGTAAATGAACCCGATTTTCTATCTTGTTTGATAGAGAACGAGCCTCGAACGTATGTAGAAGCCGTGACTTCTACGGAAGGACCAATGTGAAAGAGGCTATAAAAGGTGAAGTGGATTCTATTCTACAGAATCACACTTGGGAACTGGTTGATCTTCCTCCGGGTAGTAAACCCTTAGGATCCAAGTGGGTCTTTTAAAAGGAAGATGAAACCGGACGGTTCCATCGAGAAGTATAAGGCTAGGCTTGTAATCAAGGGTTACAGGCAACGCGAGGGCCTCGATTACTTCGACACGTATTCTCCCGTGACGAGAATAAACTCCATAAGGATGATACTTGCCATAGCCGCACTGTGGAACTTGGAAGTCCATCAATGGATGTGAAAACCGCTTTCCTAAATGGCGAATTAGATGAGGAAATCTATATGGAACAACCCGAAGGGTTCGTGGTTCCGGGCCAAGAGAGGAAAGTGTGTAAGTTGGTTAAATCGCTCTATGGTTTAAAACAAGCGCCTAAGCAGTGGCACGAGAAGTTTGACCATGCGATGTTAACGAACGAGTTTAAAATAAACGAAGGTGACAAATGCGTCTACGTTAAGGAAACGATAGATGGCTACGTCATTCTTTGTTTATATGTCGATGATATTCTCATCGTTGGTAGTAATGATCGGATGATCAAGTCTACCAAAAAACATGTTAAATACGAGATTTGACATGAAGGATATGGGTTTGGCTGATTTAATCCTCGGGATTAGAATCATTAGAAGACCTGATGGTCTCGTGTTGAGGCCAATCACATTATATTGACAAAATCCTTGAGAGATTTAACAAGGATGATAGTCAAGTGCTAGGACACCATTTGATACAAATATTCATCTAACCAAGAACCACGGAGAAGGTATTTCACAAGTGGAATATGCTCGGGTCATTGGTAGTTTTGATGTATCTTATGAGCTGTACTAGGCCGGATATTGCCTATGCGGTTAGTAAACTCAGTAGATATACGAGTAACCCGGTGCCATGCACTGGAAGGCAATGGTAAAGGTTATGAGATACTTGAGGTATACTCGTGATCTTGGACTGCACTATGGGAGATATCTCGCCGTACTTGAAGGGTATAGCGACGCGAACTGGATATCTGATATTAAGGACTCTAAGTCCACGAGTGGCTACGTGTT